ATTTTCTGAAGGTCACCAGATGGTTCCAACACCCAGCCTCGTCGAGAAGGAGGACCAATGGCGAAGAGCACACCTTTCTGTTGGAAGCCCCGGAGGGCAGTGGTTCCCGGCGTTGGAAACCCACTGCGAGCTTTTAAATGCCCCCAACCAGACCTCATGCCCGGCAGATTAGGTCAGAACCCCTGTGCGTGGGACTTGGTGACCAGAGATGGCGCCGGGACTGGAAGAGCAGCTCTGCCACCCAACACCCCCCACACACAACCCCTCATCAGAAGTTTTCTCGGGTGATTCCAGGGTCCACCCAGTGTTAGAGCTGTCCTAGGGCCTCCTTCTTTTAAAGCCCCCAAGCTGCTGGCCCCAGGACCATCCTATTCAGCAGCTGGTTTTAGGAAAGCCGAGGGTAGCGGGTAGCGCAGGACCCACTCCTCCTCTTCCTCCTCCGGGCAGCCTTTATTTATTTGTGGTTCTAGGGACTGAAACTGGGACAGCTCTACCACTGAGATGCTCCTAAGCTATCAGAGACCCTGGGGCTGAAGGAGGAGGGCTCACCCCACGCCCCAAACCAATAGTCATGGTACAGGACCAAGAAAGTCCATGGGCCAGGCAAGTCTAGAGTCTTGATTTTTCGCAGGACTCCTCTTTCAGAATATTAAATTTGGCCCCGGCATGGGGTGGCGCATGCCTGTAATCCCAGCTGCTCAAAGGCAGGAGGATTCCAAAGTTCAAAACCAGCCTCAGCCACTTAGTGGGTCCCTAAGCAGCTTTAGGGAGCCTCTGTCTCGACTTAAAAAATAAAAAGGGCTGGGGTGTGGCTCAGTACGCAAGCACCTCTGGCTCAATCCCTGGTGAGACAGAGAGATACATGGAGAGAAAGAACTTGTTTCAGTTTAATGGGTTGACCTTAGGGTTGGAAGTAAGTACACAGGGTGCCTCTCGGCCAGCTTCGGTTCCATCTGGATTCACCTCCTGTCAGGCAGCCCAGGGAGGGTCTGAGCACGCCCTGGCTCGGGTCACCCAGCCACCCCTCTCCAATCCCTACTTCCAAAGCACCCTCTGCTAACTTCTCGACATCCCGCCTGTACATCCAAGACTTCAGCCCACAGTCATTTTCTGGAAAATTCTTGGCAAAGACTTGGGTCTCAGGTGCTCAGGGAAAGGGTTTGTGGGAACTCGCTGAGCCCCACGTGGCCGTGGGCCACGGCATGACTTCCCTCGGTGTGCCAACCCTCCGGGCATCCCACGCTGGTCTAGGCACCAGCCTTGGCCCCTCACCCGTCCCCTGGCTGGGACCCCTTCATCAAGGGCCCAGAACTGGCCCAGATTGGCCAAGTGGGGCTGAGTGTCACAACTGGCCTTCGGATAGAGGTCAGGGACGAAATGGTCAGTGGGAGAGGAGCTGCCGTCACCGAGTGGCTTTTAAGTCATGCCCAAGCACACCACAGGTTGCTTAGGTGACACGCAGTGTGAGCCTAAAGGGACACGCAGAAACCATGCTCCCCCACCCACCAGGAAGGTGGCTGCTGGGGTGGGGGGACTCGGGAGGGACAATGACATTTGTGATGTTCGTCTCTTTAGTTGATGTTGGCTCTGATACTTAACCGTTTCCAATGCCCAAAATGACTCAGTGAAACCCCAGCAAACCCCACAGCCTGGAATGCTGGTTAGCAGCACCGACTGCCGCCCCTTCCCCAGCGCCCCTGGACCTGCACTCTGGCCAGGCGCCCCCACAGCCATTTTGCCTGTGAGTGTGCAGAAACACTCTGCTGAACGCCCAAGGCCCAGAGCCCTGCCCCAAACTTTCTGAAGGGAGGGGGATTGGGGAGAAGGGGTGCTGGGCCTCTGAGGACAAGCCCACCCAGGGGCTGACCTTGCTGCTGGCGTCTGGCAGGGCCCTGGGAGGCCAAGGAAGGACCTTAACATGGGGGTTGGACCTCAAGATCCCCCCAGGCCCTCAGGGGCGCTGGGCTCCTGGCCTGCGGCCCTGCCCCCTGGTCCAGCCCTGGTCCCGGGGCCCTCAGGGAGGCCCTGGGACGGGCAGAGAGCCCGAGGCCTGGAATGCAGCCGCGAGGCCGCACCCTTCCAAACCAGTTTGAACCAGCTGCCGGGAGGGAGCCCTGGCGCGTCCCCGCGAGCTCCCTCTGGTGCCCAAGCCGGGCTCGGAGCTGCTGCTCCTGCAGCCTTCTCCAGAGGCCTGGGCGGGTGCGGCTGCCCCTCCCCGCCTGGGCATGAAGAGGTGCTGGCTGCCAGGCCCCAAGGGCCCCCGGAGCTGCAGCCCTTCGCTGGGCCCCAGGTGGCACGCCCTCCACCCCCGCCCATCCGCTTCCCCTCAGGAGGCAAGATGGTGGCCTCTCCTGACCTTTCAAAGTTCCCCAGCCCAGGCCTCAGGCACATCCCGCTTTAGACCAGCCCCGTTCCCAAACTTGTGGACATTGGAAACCCTGGGGCGTCTCTAGAAAATACTGATGCCAACTCCATCCCGAGACCGAGACCGGCTTAAGTGGGCTGGAGGAGGCCTCCCAGGAGGCTGGGGGAGTCTCAAAAGATCCCTGGGGGGGGTCCAGGCTGCCGGGTCCCAGGCTGGCTTCAGGCTGGCCTCCCTCTGGGCCAGTGGGGACCCACTGTGGCCTTTCTCAGGCCCCGGGCCTCTGCAGCAGCCTTCCTCCCTCTCTAAAGTGTCCTGGGCACAAGACACGTGCCAGTGTGTGTGTGTGTAAGAGAGAGAGACAGAGAGAGAGGGAGAGGGAGAGAGAGAATGGGAGACAGAGGAGGAGGAGAGAGAGAGA